CCCCCTGGCAGCCCCTACGGCTCAGGTGGGAGTCTGCGGGTACCTACTGGCCACGCCCCTGCCCTCCCTGCACCCACAGCTTCACCACCCCCACCCCACTTCTGTCTCATGCCAGAACTGTGGCCAGGAAATGCTGAGGCAGGGGAAAAGCTAACTTCTCAGGATGGGACAGTGGGACAGGGACCCGCTACGGAGCAGGGTGGCACTGTCACGTTCCGTGCTCAAGACGAGGCTCGCGGGGCGTGAGTGTGGACGACCCAGCCATCGGGGCTCTTGGCGTCCCCTCTAGCATCTGCATGTCCCTCCAACATTTGTGCGATCCTCTGGCTGGAGCGCCTTCCTCGGCATTTGCACGCTCAGTCAGGGTTCGTGCAAGCAGGAAGAACGTGTCCTGGTCGCAGTGTAAATTGGTGCCGCACAATATGAGGTGAGCAGCCACCACGAAAACACATGGGCCAGCCGGCGGCTGGGGGTTACAGTGACCGGATCCCACATGGCCGGCTGCTAGGTTCAACTCCTGGGCCTGGTGGCCTGAAAATCACGCCTGGAGCATGTGTGTGCGCGCCCCAAACCCCCAGAGGAGGCTGGAGGAAGGGACTGTGGCATGGCCATCCCCCTTGGGTGATCTGATTCTTTCTCTGGTGAGCACATGCACCACATAGTGAAAACTGGAAAAAAAAGAAACAAAACACCGACCATGCCGTTGGCCCAAAGTTAAAAACGGTCTCTTGGCTAGTGGTTAAGGCGGCTGGACCCCACGCGGCCAATGGTGAGGCCTGAGTCCCAGACACAAGGCCTTGAGAAACACACTGAGCAGGTATGCGTGCATGCCCAAAATCCGGGAGAGGAGACGAGATGGAAAAAGGATGAGGGCCAGCAGATGGCATGGTGGTTAAGGTGCTGGACTCCCACATGGCCCACCGCGGTTCGAGTCTGGACCTGCTGCCTTGCTTTCTCGCTCCCTGTCCTGGCCACCTCCCTGCTCTGTCTCCATCTCTCTCTGGTGAGCACATGTGTCCTATAGCAAATTTTAAAATAATGGTGAGTAAAATAAAAAATACTTCTTTAAAAAAAAAGAAAAAAGGGATTATGGCACGACGGCCTCCCCACGGACACTGCCTTCCTCTCTCCCTGTCTCCCTGATGAGCACGCAAACACTCTAGATAAATTAGTAACTAAGGGATCTTTGCAAGATTGGAATACATCGCTACCTGACTCAACAGCCTCCCCCAAGGCTCTGCTCCCGAGATGTCCCTGCACTGGCTGGCCCTGCATCTGGGGAGTGCTAGGGGCGGGCTGCCCGCCTGGCTACTTTACCTGCCGAAACTTTAGGGGGCTGCTTATTTTCCTGAAGAGAGACTTGGGACTCTGCTGTGTCTCCTCTGCTCAGTCCATAGGCTTTCAGGAGGTCTAATAAAATGAGGTTGGCCCTGGCACCCGGGAGGAGAGAGCACAGCCCACGCCCCGCCCCAGCAGGGGACGCCCTGCACACACTCACTTGTCCAGTCTTCTTCGAAGCAGTGCAGGAAGTGGAATCCCACCATGACGAGGGCGTGCAAGGAAATGAGGGCTATGTACATCTGAAACGGGGAAGCAGTGTGGACGCCGTGCTGTGAGGCCTCCTGGCCCTGGGCTGCGGGGCCGGGGCTCAGGACACGCAGCCCGGCCTGGCCCAGGGAGGGCCCGAGAGGCGGCCAGTGACCACCCTGCAGGGCCCCGCCCCCGCCCTGCATGAGCGGTCATCCTCGGGGAGCACACGGAGTGGGACAGAAACAGAGCGCTGCCCAGGAGGGACCCGGGTGGCCTCGGGGCTCCAGCCCACCGCTGCCCTCACTCGGAAAGTCAAGGTGCCGCTACCTGCTGTGGCCCTTCGCCGAGGCCGTCACGACTGGTTCTGTAGCTCCGACCCTTGGGAAGGGGCCAGAACACAGCCCAGGCTCAGGGCTATCGGCCTGAGCGGACTCCGGAATGCTCTCGAGAAGGGCTCGGGGACCGGCACTTGCTGAACCAGGGCCACTCTGGCAGGAAGGTGGGTGTGCGATGGCGAGGTGGCACTCTGGACAGCAGCGGGGGCCAGCCTGGGGCCGCGCCGACACTCACCGTAAACAGGACGAAGTACTTCTGGTTGCTCTCGCCCACGCAGTTGTTGACCCAGGGGCAGTGGTGGTCCATCTTCCGGATGCACCGCTTACACACGCTGCAAGAGCCCACAAGCTAGACCCTCAGGGCGTCCTCGCAGAGCAGGAGGGGCCAGGGACAGCGAGCCCACAGCTCCAGCTCCAGCTCCGCTCCCTACGGCGGCTCCTCGGGCGCGGCCGGGGCCTGGCCGGCCAGGTGCTGCAAGGGGCTTGGAGGCAGGGCTGGGGCCCGGGGAGTCACCCGATCGGGAGACCGGAGTACCTGCCTCCAGGCCCTCGCCCTGTGTGCCATCTGGGTAGGATGGAGGCAACGGCTGTTCCCAGGCCGGGTTTGGCTGACCGCGAGGGCAGAGTGAGGAACCAGGTGGAGAACTGACAGCGTGGGCCAGGGTTTCCACAGGCACTGCTGCGTGTCGTCGGCAGGCCAGGGCTCTCCATGGCGGAGCACAGGACAGAGTGGAGGACCCCCGGGGCTTCCAGAAGCTCTCAGCTCTAAGATGACCGCCCCGGGTTGCCACTGGAGCTTAACTGCTGCTCAGACCCTCCCACTGATTCACGCGACCCCACTTTGTCGCTGGGATCGAGTCCGCCTAGTGGCGGATCCTGCCCTCCCTGTGTTGGGCGACACAGAGCAGTGAGACACAGGCATGCGGGACTGAGGGGCTGAGGGCGGCTGGGCCCTGGAGTTTGGAAAGACGCAGGGCAGTGGCGTGTTCACGAACGCCTTGTGCTGGTCCCTTCGGCCAGGCTCCCTCGTGTTCACCGTGGGTGCTCACTACTCGGAACAGCCCGAATCCGACGTGGGCAGCTGGGGCGAACCCCGCCGGGGCCCCTGGAAAGCCCCTTAGTCCGAGTAAGCTTGCTCCTCACTAGCTCCCAGCACCTTTATCTGCCGCCCTCGGCCAAGCACACACCGGGCCACCCAGGCGGCCAGGGGGAGGCGGCCGCGGCCTTGCTGTGTCACATTTGTGCGAGGCACGGCTGGTGGCCGGAGCCAGGACAGGAAGAGGGAGCAGCTCTGGGGGGAGCCGGAGGCACCCGGGGCTGCTGAGTGCCCCTGGACAGACTGGCCCGCTCTGACCCGACTCCCTATTGGTGCAAAGAAAGTGTCACCACGCGGAACACCCTGGCCTGGCGAGGCGTGGCAGGCACGTCCCAAGGCTGCCCTGCTTGCCACACTTCAAGGGCCTCCCGGGAGGTGCATGTTGGGGCCCCTCTCCGGCTCCCTCTGAAGGGTTCCGAGAGGGGCTCTCAGCAGGGCTGGCACGGCTGGGCTGCCTCTGAGGGCCCCAAGGAGCCTTGCCAGCTCTCCAGCTGCGCCACCCCTCACTCCTCTGGCCTCTCGAGAGCGCTTTCGCAAGGACCTGGCTGGGCTTCCTGTGAGAACCACATGCCCTTGGGGAGGCAGCAGGGAAACTGGGTGAGGCCCGCTAACAGTGACGGAAGTTGGCCCGCCACGCGGGTGCTTGCCCTTCCTGCTTCCAGAGACAGCCCCAAGGCCCGTGTCCCCACAGAGGGGCAGTGCAGGTGACTGTGCCGCCCACCCTGGAGGGGCCGACAGCCATGCCACCCCTGCCCGCTGGTCACTCGAGGTCCCTGGGAGGAGGAGGAAGAGACGTGGGCTGCCACCCCCCTTCCAATCCTGCATGCAGGGATCGGGGCTTAGCTGTCCCCTCTGTAGATGGCAGGTGGCCCAAGCACGGTGGCAAGGGGATTCTGGCTCCAGGTCATGTCTTAGTGTCCTCCTGGCCTCGGCTGGGGCAGCCCCGACATCAGAGGTCCTTTGCACTATCCACGTGCCCACCCCACCTCACCCTCAAGGCCCCGTCCTCGCTCCCGCGGGCCCTGGCGCACTGCAGCCTGTCCTGCGGGCCGGCGAGCTCCGGTGGTGGGGTGGGGGTGTGCTGCAGCAGGTGCTGAGACCCCCATGCCCTCAATGGCGGTGCCTTCCTGGCCCTGCAGAGCTTCCTTGTGCCCTTCCCCCAGGCTCCCTACCACTCTGCAGGCCAGGGGTACCCAGGGAGTTGGGAGGCCCCAGGAGCTCCCGGGCCCACTCGCCTTCAGGTTTGCTTGGCTTGTGTGGGCCCTCCCAGAGACGGGGCCTCCCGTGGTACTCGGCCCAGAGGAATCTGTCGAGGCTCCCTGGTCACTCTGGGTGACAGCTCACAAGACGCAGTCAGGACCCACTAGGGCTCTGCGCCTCTCCCTGTGGCAGCCTTGCGGACCCTGTCACAGTGGGCACGTGTACCTGTTGTGCCTGGGCGGCAGCCCCGACCACAACCACGTCCAACCCACCTCCACCAGCCCAGAGCCCAGCCCAGGCCTGCGCTGAGGTCTGCAGACGGGCCCGGGGCAGCCAGGAGACGGCTGGACCACACCAGTCACCCGCGGGGCCCAGGCTGGGAGGGTCTGAGGCACCTGCCAGAGCACAGGGGATGGAGCCCATGTCAAGGAAACCAACCTCTGGGCGGGGACACACGCGTGTCACACACACCTCTGAGCGGGCACGGCTGTTGACCGTCTCTAACCAGCAGCAGGCTCGGGGCTCGGGGCACCTGAAAACACCCCACCCGGCCTGT